AAACTCCTTGAATGTAATGTCTGTTCGTATTTAAGGAACATTTCTAAATGTAATAGTTTAAATTCAATCTATTAAAAAACACACCTCAAGGTGACAAAGAATAATGGTGTGCTAACGATGTCTTCACTCTGTTCAAATTAAATTATTTTGAGCGAAGCTCTTGAATAGCTTGCACGTTAACCGCAGAGAAACAGATGCCAGTTGTGGTCCAAAATTAATTTGTAAATTAAATGTAATAAGATTTTGTTCAACACAAATTGTAATAAAAATTAATGCAGATAATATTAACGCTAGAAGCCTCTTTGTTTTACATTATACAGAGAGAATGAAGGTGGCAACACTTTTGTATAATTGTTATATCTGTGGAAATCCACGCTTAGCGAGACATTAAATCATCATGCGTAACTTTCGGTTTTATTACGACGTTATCCCGCCTTTACAACGGGCTACTAAAACATTTTCAAACTCGGTAACTTTCAAAAAGTTTGTTCAAATTATTCAATGCAACAAATAATCCTAACTTTAAAATGTTCAACTAAATTTGCTTTATATAACCTTAAATTTAGAGCTTAATATATTAATATATTACCTTGAATAGCAAAAACTAAGGTTTAACGAAAGTTATTATCTTTACTAAACATGTACTTAAGTATTTAGTTGTAGTCCACATGTATGGCCACACTGTTTACTAGTGACATGGTGTCATGCCAGCGAGTCAGTCGTGTCCAAGCCACCGACAGGAGCAGACGTCTCAAGCATACAGTACAGTAGTAAACGAATTAAAAAAATAAAGAAATATAAGTTACAAACGTGTAGCTTAAGACTTTAAATTAAAAATAAGAAACTTAGTCTATCGCATACATTAGAAAATCATGTCACAAAGATGGCGATTGTGGCCTAGATTTTTATATTCTTGAAATAGCCATTGTATTTAACTATGTATAGATTTTTTGCACAATCTTTATCTATCCGTTTATATGAATATGTAACAATTTGCTGTGAGCTCTTCACGGAATATCACAAAATAGAATAAACAAATACAGCATTATTTTATTTCACATTTGGCATCAATATCAACCATATTCGTTCAATATAATATTTCATTCTATCAACGGAGCCGCTTTCATAATATATTCGAGTCTAAAGATTCAAGAACGAATCGCTTAAAACGAGACTATTAGTTGAACAATCTTCAAAGAAGGATATCTTTTTAACTATTTATAGTTGTCCTGAACTCCATTTTAGGACTTATTTTTGGTTGTAATTTAATCTTTAAAAAAATCTACTGAATGTCACATAAATATCAAAAAACCATAAATCAAGAATGTTTCTAAAATAAAGTTTTAAAGATCAAAGATATATTTGATATACTCGTAGAATAGAAGAAAAAAATGTTTGGATAAGCGAACAATAAGAGCTTTTGAAGTCAACTTATATGGAACTAAATTATTTATGTTCCCAGGAATCACTCAAAGAGATCGTTTTACGGCCGTCAAGAGGAAAAAAGACTTGACAGCTCTAGGGATGGGCCGACATTAATGTCCGACAGTGTAAGACCCATACGTCCCATCAAAACATTTTTACGACCGCAACATACATAGTCAATAGTAAGATCAGTGTCCGCCGAGTGATTTAAAACTATTCCCTAACATGGAATATATACAAAGTTGAACGCTTACAGCAGTGCCAGATTGAATGTATCTTGCACATATATTGTATGCATGTGTTGTATGTATTAGTAGATTTCTGCTAATTTACTAACATTTCCTTTCAATAATATAACTAACTTGTGCTAGGATATGGTTCACAATAATAGTCGAATGCCGGGATTCGTGCCCACAACCGCAAGATCCGTAGTCCATACCCCAAACCATTAGGCCATTGGGGCTTTAACACTGCATTACTATATTCCGTAACTGTATGTTTATAAGTTTTTATGTTTTCTGACAGCAAAGCCCCACTGTAGTGATATTTACACATCAAGTTATGATTGATTACGTTTTATTTGCAGTATGCTGTCAGTTGATAATGTAACTGGCAGAATGTACAATTTAAACCCGTCATATCAAATAAAAAACATTTGTTTCTCTAACCGAATACAGAACGTTTTTATAACCGTAAATTATAAATAACTTTATATAAAAGGTTGTAGGAGGTTCCCGAAGAATATCAAGAATCATTGACTTGAAGTGCTGCGGCATTGTTTCTGAACGAGATCAGATATAGAGCGAACTTTTGTCTAACCACAAACACTGAAGTTTTATTGCTCGAGTTTACGAACTTACACACAAAAGATCTTGACAATACTCGTAAAAATAATAAACTTCTCTTTTAATATTTTAAATTTAAATATTTAATCCTTTTTTTTTGTTACATTCGTCTGATATTGTACTCTTGTAGTTATAAATAATCTATACTTCTATACTAATATAATAAAACGTAAACATACACTACTTTGCGGCGTTGGATGTCAGCAAGCACAGCATATTTTTAAATAATTCCTTCTTTAATAAATAGCCCTACACTTACGACACGCTTTAGGCTACTAGATTTGGGGGAAAATGAAATTGGAAAAAACCTTCATGTGGGAGAGGGACCATATACTACAAGCTGCGAACATTAAGGAAGCAAAGTTGCCATGGTTTGTCATCATTTCATGTCATTTTGACATTTGCACTCGATATTTTAACAAATTTTCATAATTTTATGCAGATAAAGTCACACGGGAACAGATAGTGCAGGACAAAATCACCTTTATGGTATGTTTTGAGTAAATATAAAATAAACATTTTTTTCTACGTTTAAGAAAACTTAAATACCAAAATACTATTCTTATCCTCATAATGTGTGGTTACCTTTATCTCCATAAGGCATTTTTATCTCTTACTTTGTAACGTGGACTTTCCCAAATTATAATGTATTCTAACGCTTGGAGTACAGTAAATCTATTGTCGACAGGAATAGTGTACCGTACACAGTATACTGTGACTAAACGCGGCCGTAAAAATCTCCTAAAAGCGATTGTGTACGTGACACTTTGAAAGGGGTTTCGTGACAAAAGGAATTGATAAAGTAAAATAGCAGCTTTGTGGATTCGTTTGAAGACTAAATATTTCTTTTTGGTCGAGGAATTTGTTAAAAAAGATTTTTTTCGTGTTTTATAATAAGGCTTCAGCGAAGGGTACGGCAATTGCCCTCTTTTTATTACTGTTTCTGTTTTGTTGAATATTTTTCATTAATATTTGTTGAATTATTAATGAAAATTTTCTTAACAAATAAAAGAAATGAAAGTTTTCATGATTTATTTTATACGTTGAATCGAACAAATTGATTATTTTAAAGAAACCATTTAAAAGATGTGCTTATAACTTAAAAGGTATGAATTTTCAACGATGACAAATATATACTTTTTTTAAATTTTAACAATGAATAGTGAACGTGATATCGGAAGCCGCAAAACGGATGTTTATTAAAGTTTCACTAATGTATTCCGATAAGTAGATACGTAATATCCTCATTTATTTTATTTCATTGTAAAATTGCCACAGATACATAATATCCATAAAAGATTACATAAAAATATAATCAGGGATATTTTAAGGGAAACTAAAACCTCTCAATCTATCTATACTAATATTATACGGAAAAAAGAATTGTATTTATTATGTTTGTATGTATTGAAATAACTCATAACCTACTCTGCCGATTTCAAAAATTATTTTACCATTAGAAAGGTAATTTATCGGTGGCTAACATAGGCTACATTTTTTTTTCACGGAGACGAAGTCCCAAACAACAGCAAGTTTAATCATCAATTAAATTGCAACTTATCTATCGTATTAGAGACATAAATATTACATTATAGACATCAAAACGCAATATATCCGTATCATGCAAACTAGTTGCTTGTCAATCCTCACTTCACAAGCGTATCTTTTTAAATGTCATAGCTTTTATTAGCCCCGCACGAGGTCTGTGATCATATATAATTCAGGGATATTACGTGGCTCAAACTAAGCACACAGGCTGCCATAATTACGTTTCTTCCTTTAATGAAGTACATAAATTATTACAAGGGGGAACAGGAGTAGCGGAATTACATGGTGTAATTGCGGAACAGCTACACAACAAATGGTATATTATACTATTTTTTAATTTACTTTTCTAGAGCCAAAATATAAAGAAATTTTGTATCTTGAATAAAAGAAATGATAATTTCGATTTGGATTTTTATTAAATTTTAAACAGAGTTTTAAAAACTAAAATATCGATGGCAAACCAAAACAAAAGATTATTGCTAATCAACTTTTAAATAAGCCAATCAAGATAAATCCCTGATAACTTGTCCGTAACAATGACATCAAATCCCTTTTATCCGTTTGCACAGGTGAAAAACGATCGTATATCAGGACATGTTGACCGAAATTCTTGTACGTGACACGCAGCGTGGATAATCCGCACGGAACGAACCGCAGTCGCTAAAATAATGGACTGAATTAAATACGATTGACCACACAATCGTGTGCATCATTTCATTGTACGAATAAAGGATACTTTACTATTAAGCTTATTTGCCCTAGGAAGATAAAATGCAGCCAGGATTATAATGAATACGCAAAGAAAACATGAGTAATACTTTTTGAATCATTGTCAAATAAATTAGTTATCAACGAATGATTAAAATAATATGATTCTATGTTAATAATATTCGGTGGCAAAGGAGCAAGAGGCAACCTGAATACGCCAAACTGGCGAAGCGACTGCTGCCCATAGACATCTGCAATAGCGGATACGTTGTCTACCCTTAATCGACATATTAGATGCACATAATCCCTTCCTATGCATCGTTAAATTCACGTTCCCTTCCCATCGTCTTCTTATGAGAAAAAGGGTGGGAAGGAAAAGGGACTAAAGTAGATCCCCCGGTACCACACTCATCAGACTGTACGCGGAATTGCTCCCACTTCACGCCTGTCTTCTGTGTGGTCGTGGTATTACACAGGGCGAGCCGACCCTATAGTGTGAAGATGTTAAAACGGGCTCTACCACTGTTAAGATTCAAATAATTGAATAATTACAATGAAAAATTGTTGAGATTTTTTTTTATAATCACGATGTTTTAAATGCAATGACTAATTAGATTGAATACAACGAATAATTTATTTATTTATTCTAAAGAAGTTAGGGAAACTTTGAATATAAGCGGACTATCTAAATGCAAAGTAAAAGTTTGATCGTAAAAATTGAAAGTTGCTGCGCATTTTCTTACAAATTCAAATCAGTATCATAATTACTGAAGTTTGTATCGCATGATTAGATGTTATAACGAACTTACTTTTGGGGTTAATCTGTTAATACTAACGGGTAAGGTTTACAAAACAATGTTAATATGTACTCATTCATCTTGACTTAATATTAGACATTAACCTGGATTAGTTAAGTAACAGTTTTTTTGAATTCGTTACTTTTGTTTAAAGCCTCAAATCATTGTTAAATAAACTTTTCGACATACTTTATGTAATGACAATAAATGGATATTTAAGTTACACTTATAAGTAACTCTGTAAGCCTATTGAATGATATATTAGCGAAAGAAAATTTAGGATTAAGATAATTTAAAGATATTAACATTAGTATGTACATACGTAACTAGAAAACAAGAAACAATAATACACACAATTCAGTAACTTACCTAAATTATCTGCTTTGTGTAACGGTATAACTGCAACCCACAACACAAATAAAAATCCAGTTCTTCGTTCCATTTCAACTTTGTCCACGCCACTAACACATTCTAACACTTTTCCAATATCTGGAACTCACAACCACTTTTATACTGCAGCAGTTCGTCAAGTGTTCGACATTTTATGAAATACGACAATTTGAGTTTTGTCCAGATTCTCCCTAGTCACTATTAAAGTAAGTAGAAACACGTATTAGAAATAAAATAAGAGATTTGTTGGCGAAAATTATGCTTTATTCACATACTAACATCGCGCATTACCAGGGAGTGGTAAAGAGATGAAGCTGCCTAAGCTGCCAAAGGGGGGCAGCTTAATCTATTTACAAATAAAGTAATATAAAATCGGTGTATAAATTACCTAAAAATATACCACGTGTTGTAATATTGTCTTTGGAATAAAAAATAATATTTTACTACTATTCTCTCTCCCTTTGATCATCTTCCTGCTATACTTCATCATTGGGTGCCTCCCCCTAAATTAACGGGTAACGATGCCCGTAAATTATTGACTGACTATTATCTTTGGTGTGCAAGTAATCTATCTAATATTCATTCATTCATTACCGGCTTGCATCATCTTGGTTAATAAATCTGATCCGCCTCATTACATTCTCAGACCAACACAAAGAATAATCAAATAGATATAGTAATAAATAAACATCAATGGTTTCATTACATTTATTATGCCGTAAGCATTCTGCTTAAGCAAATCAGTAAGGCGTTCAAGCATAATAGCCCTAATTTTGTAGGAAATTGTAATGGAAAATACGTCTCCCTTTTTATTACCGAGAAAGAGAAAAATGACGCCGATTTCGTCAGGGAAATGCTGATTTTTGTTTTTCCCCGAATTAGAAATATTGAGATCGAGGGTAAAGCGCTGCGTAAATTTAACGAACGAAAGTAAATGGATCGTAACATCATTAGGTTTGTCATTATGGCGGCACTTCCTGACGTTTTTGCGTGACAGGATAAATAAAATACCTGTCACCTCTGGTACTGGATTTATTCAGTTGTTTATGCAAGCAAAATAAACATTTGCAAGCTGACTTTAAACCAAAGAAATTATAATATGTAGAGGAGGCATAGGCACTTTACATGAATTATTTTTCACATAATCCCCACTAACGGTATCTGTTGATATATTCTCAAACATATGAATGTAATTAGTTGTATTTAAATTTATTGCCAATAGATATCATAAATTCCAAGGACACGAGGTGGCGAACTGAACTTGACAACTGATTTAGTACCAGTTAAAAAAATTATAATTCAATATGCCTCGTCTATATATTATTTAAATGTCTTTGCTTTTAACTTCGCTTTGTGTGACATTTTTATTCGTCCAATTTAGAAATTATTATAAACCTTTTAAGGATAAAGCACAATTTATAAGAA